AGTTACACATCGAAAATCACTATACAGTATGCATACATAAAAATATTAGTGCGTATGTATGTACATGTGTATTTACATATGTACTGTATATTTATATCAGTAACACAATATGTTTATGAATATTAGGTTGGTGCAAAAATAATGACGTAATGATGTCGTTTTTTGACGTTAAAAAATACGTCAAAAAAACGACATTATTACGTCATTATTTTGCACCAACCTAATATTTAAAAAATTATAAAAGCAAATGATAATACTATTGCATATTTACAGTCTCAAATTCTTAAGAAAAGGTAAGTTAATGGCCTTTTGGGCACATTGCACGTGAATAAGAGTTAATTTTTTGAATAATAAGAATTATATGTCACAGACGGGAACAGGAGGCATCAAGATTTTAGAGATGCGTAAGTGAGGCATAGTCAATAAAAAGGTTGGGATCCACTGACATAGACTAATAGCCAACAGCGTTTAAAAAACCTATTATTATTGTTATTTAACCCATAAAGACGGGGTAGATGCCTCTAGACCACGAACCTGGCCGGAATTCGAACTCGACTTTCCGATTTATCGTCTCGAGCTGCTCACTATCGCACTTTCTCCACATTTAAGTTGTATCTCCGTAAAAATGACTTCGAAAGTCAGGTATTTGCCGCAGACATTACGGAACGCCTTGACCTGCTGCCTTCACTCGGTTTTCACATGTGTACGTGTGTCGGTGCGAATATGTGTCAGCGTGTGCCTTCGAAAAATTCTTCAACGGTAATTTTGCACATTTCAGGAATTTTCCCTCCCCTGTGTTATTTGATTGCTATCCAATGATGGAACATCTCGCAGTTCCTGTCCCCTTCCCCTTCCCTGGCAACTGTCACAATTACCACTGTCAATAATCTGGGTCTTGTTCCATCACCTACTTTCCCAATGTTTTTCAATACTTCTCTCTCTAGTTTCCTTTACCACCACCACCCTCCATGTTTTCCTCCCCATCTTCATACCTCCGCTAGTTATTATTCCACTGTGGGACAAGCTGTGTAATATCAGACACAAAAATATTCATTGTCTTGTATAGTTTGGGATGAAATGCAATTCATTTCTGACAAAGCAGTAGTTACACAACAATGTCGATATTCATAGAGACTTTCACCATTCACTTGTCTCATTCACAAATTTTTATAACCTTTTCTTCGTTCCTTTCCCAGTAGTGTGACAAACCCAATGCAAACACACTTTTGTCTCAACCTTGTTTCTATCATCAAGTAAGTTTCACATTTGTGTCCCCAAACTCGTGTGAAAAGGTTTCTTTTTTTTTTAATTAAAAAAATAAAATAAAATAAATCAACTTTGGGCAAATCACAAAAATGTTTATTTATATCTCTAGATATTTTCCATTAGGACTATTCATTGTCAGCAACGCTTGCCTTAATTCCGAACGATAATTTTCTTCATTTACAAGACATTTAAAAAGAAATATTTGCAATTTAATAAAACCATAAAACATTTCTAAAATACTAGATTCGTTTCTGTTACTTCACCCCAAATAATGTAAACTTGCTTATCGCAAATATTAATTCACCCCAGGAATTTATAAATTTCAACTCAAAGTTTCTTTTTTTATTAAATTGTTGGCACTTTTTTTCAAATTATAAATTTTATATTAAAGTTTTTTGTTTTTTATTAAATTTTTTGGCACGGGTTAGGGCAGAGGGTTGGGAATTTTTTACAATTTAAAAAAATTTGCTTTCGGCTTGTTTATCGGGGTATGCATGAATGTAGACCTCACCCGCAGAAATAGCGTACTCGAATCGTCCACATTTGGGGGAGATCGCAAAAGTCAACCCAAATGGGGTGCAATGGAAGGAGTTTGCTCTGGGAGAATTTGGTGTGAATTCTTTTTTATTTTGGGGTGAATTAACAGAAAAGATCCAAATACCATTAAAGAAATAACAACATATAAAATAGCTATATTCTGTCATTAACGCATTGCTTAGTTCTGAAAATTGACAGTCAATTTTACCCTTATTTGCAATATATATCTATAGTTAAACTAAAAAAAAACTATATATATTGTTTATACATATATATATATATATTGTTTTATATATTGTTTATATTTTTATAGATACAAATATTTAAGTAAATGCTCTGTTTAAACAGTACTAACATTTGCTAGCCTGAATGTTCGAGAAATTTCATAGAAAATATGTGTCCTCCTACAGAAAACGAACCTGTATCCTTAACGGAACTGTCATAGAACCTGACATGCTATACTATTTAGCCACAGAGGAAGCGCCTGGTTAGCACGGTCGCATTACTGCTTTTAAACTACAAATTTCCCAATCTATATGACGTTTCCTTGTAGAATACAGGTTTGATTCCTGACGGAGGACACATATATTCTATGAAATTTCTAGGATATTTAGGCCGGTAAATGTTGTTAATATTGTTTATTATAAACAGAGTATTTACTTAAACATTTGTATCTATAAAAATAGCGTATAAACAATAAATATATTAAAATAATTGTCGGACTTAGTCCGTTTCATTATATATATATATATATATATATATATATATATATATATATATAGATATAATCATTTCACTCTAAGCAATGCTGCAAGGGGTTAATGAGTATTTGGTAGAGAATGTGAGAAAAACTACTATGAAGGGCAGGGGACAATAAAAGAACAAGAATGAAGAAGATGGAAGATAACGCCTGACATTCTATTTGCATTTTTGAAGATCAAAGTTGACTGGGAAACAAGAAGCCGGAAGAGAGTTCCACAAGCAAGAAGTGCGAGAGAAGAAACTGTTAGAATATAACTTACGGTTACATCTAGCCATTTCAACTGTAAAATGATGAGACGTTCCAGCCAATCTTGTACTGCGCTGATGAAGAAGAGACTTGAAGCAACAGAACTGTGGCTCTACAGAAGGACGCTAAGAATTTCATCGACAGAGAGAGTAGGCAACGCAGAAAACTTAAAGAAAATGGCATAAAAAAGAACACTTATGCTGAGGTTCAGGAAGAGATAGCTGAAATTTCTTGGACACTTAATGAGGAAAGAGATCTTGGAAAATTTAACCCACGCGGCAGAGCTGGATTATCCTTTAGGCTAAAGTAGACTGCTGCCTAAGACCCCATCAAGCTTTTATAAAGCAATGAATTTAATTTTCTAGATAATAACTTGTTTAGATTTATTCTAGATGACATAATTTCTAAATAGTTTCATAAACTGAAATTATATCAATAAGACAAACTTATATTTATTTAATTAAAATATTTGACACATTTGTAAACAAAAGTTAATTCCCGGTTTTAAAAATCTTGCAAAAATAAAATATATATTTCTGAAACGTTATTTAAGGAAATAAATGAAGAAGATTGTCGTTCGAAATTAAGACAAGTGTTACTGACAATGAATAGTCATAATGGAAACAAAGCAAGGAAAAGAATATTTTAGTTTATGTCATTGTGTTTCAAGTAGATAAGATGTTTGATTTTAGTTCAGAATGTTTACATCTTAGAAATTTTTATAAAGCAGTAATTTTCTAGATGATATAATTTCTAAATAGTTTCATGAATTGAAATGATATCATTATAACAAACTCCTATTTATTTTGATTGTTTTATTCTTCCTCTGGTATATATATTGTTCATTGCTAACCAACATGGAATTCTGAACTAAACCCTTTATTTAATTTACGGGGCTAGACTGTTCTCATTCCACTGCACAGGGATATCATCTGGTTCTTATTTATTATTGCTCGGCCATTTCCACTGAGTCCAAGTACCCACTGCCCAACCCAGATTGAACTCACAAACATTATGTCATCAAATTCATGACCCAATGCTTTAATCCACTAGTCCATTGTCCCTGTGGAGAACTTGGAGCCTTAAACCTAACCTACCTGCTGATTAATGTTGCTGCTGCCTGTCATGTTTGGATTGATGCTGTTTAAGATTTGCTATCATATGTCTTTCTCCATTAATGGCTCCCATACTGTATTTATTTCTATGCTAGGCCTACTAAGGAGATCCTCATAGCCTAGCATATGCACTGATTCATGAACTAGTGCTTTAATCCACTAGGCCATTGTCCTTTTTTTTATAACTCAGTGATTTTCATTTTCTAGATCTTATAACTTCTAAATAGTTTCATGAACTGAAATGTCATAACAAACTCCTATTTATTTTGATTGTTTTATTGAATAAAACAATTGACCAAATGGAAATAGTCTAATTGACTCAATTCAACATGTACACCTTGAGCCTCATTGCATAATCGAAATACCAATTGTAATTAGATTGAATACAATTGCTTACTGAAGCCAGTCTAAGCACAACAAATAGGCAAGGTTATCTTATTTTTAAAGCCATTAGTTAAGTTTTTTTTTTAATTCATTCTTCGACACTGTAATTATCAGCATTGTATGTGGATGTATTAATTAATTTTTTAGTCAACTATTTTATTCAATGTACTTGTCTTCCTCCAGGACTGTGTGCCCGGTAAATGGTAGTCAACCTCGAGCCAAACTTTGGCGGACAAGATTGTGATGCGCCAACTGAAGGTTAGCTTTCTCTAAAAATAATGATCGGCACTACAATAGGATGTTAAAAAGTTCTCTAGCATTACAAGAAGCCCTTCTTCCAAAACTGATGTTTGCTTTTTGGCTTGAAGAATTTGGCACTCACAGGCCATATTAAAAGCAAAAGAGACAGAGGGGAACGTTGATTAATTGATTCCTTTTTTACGGCTTATCAACCCTGTGCAGGTTATTTAAAACCAAAATATATTTTTCCATTGTAAGATTTGTTTTGACATAATAATAGTTTAGTGATACAAGTCTTACTAATTAACCCATAGTTGGAGGAAGAAGAGGTGGATTCATACCTTTCCCAAGAGTATTTCCGCGTTAGTGAATAGAACGAACCCCGCGGGAATTGGAACTCGGCTCCCTGATTAACAATTCCAAGCCATTACATCACCTGCACATTCAAGCTTACAGCACCTGGTATTCCCAAGCGGTCACCCATCTAATTACTGACCAGGTTCGACGTTGCTCAACTTCGGTGATCGTACGGGAACCGGTTTTCAGCGTGATGTGGCCGTGCGCCTAGAGGGAAACAAAGTAACCTACCGAACAAGTTTTTGGCAGAAGGAGGAAGTGGGTGTGCTTAGTAGAAAGACTACTAAGATCTACAAAAGATATGAAGTAGTGGAGACCCACGATCACCCACGTCAGAAGAAAACTTGTGTAAACTGACACTAGAATAAAGAGAGTGAAGGATAATAAAAAAACAAAAAAGGCTAATCGCTACAAAGGACAGGAAGTTGTGGAGAGTTACGACCGCCTACGTCCTGAAGGAACACGGCACAAAAGAAGAAGGTCAGATTTTATTTTGAGAAGTAAGTCAAACCGATAAGTTTTCAGCACCCACATACACGCATCTAGATTTTATCTGGGTTTGTACAACGATCTAGAGTGCCGGTGGAAAACAGGAAACTATAGCTGCATAATGAATTCAGCTTAGTCTGGCACAAGGCTACGAGTATAGAGCCCCGCGTTTGTTTACTTGGCCTGGTACAGAACCAAAAAGGCAATAAGAAGATTGTGTGACGCCACTTTCCCAAACACGAAGAAAGCTTGAAAAATCAGTCATCAAAAATTTCCTTTCTATTCGAGTTCGAAGACCGATACCAATACGCACTCACTCAACCTCTAGAGTGTAAATTGTAAAGGTTATGAATCATTTAAAACAGCTCCCTTATCGTAAATTTTACCGACAGCAAGATGAAGAATAATCTTTTTTGTTTGTAATAATTTCACCCCAAGCAAGGCGATAATGCCACTTAGACGCAAGGGGCTACTGGGAGTGAAAGAGAATAAGAAAAATTTCAGTAAAATCGATAAAAACGGCCATTTTGACACATTTGTAAACAAAAGTTAATTCTCAGTTTTAAAAATCTTTTAAAAATATATAAATAAAATATATATTTCTGAAACGTTATTTAAGGAAAATTAGTAAATTTAAAGTTAAATTAATCTAATTTGAAACAAATATTACTTATTTATAGCATAAAATGTTGTATACAAGCATTTCTTAACCATAGGGTCTTGTTTTTCTGACGTGTGAATCAATTTATTGACGGCCGAATGACAACCGAATGTGTTCATAGTTTAATATGGTGGAGCAGACTATAAAGTTTATATTAGGGTTTTTTTTCCCCTAAAAACCCGTGACCTTTTAATGATAATGTAAGTATTGTACATCCATACTTAGAAATTCTGCACGTATATATACATAAAAAACAAATCGAAATTCTTTTAAAAATATTCTGTCTCATCAGATTGTAATACACTTTACAATATATGATTAGTAATTATAGTTTTACTTAATAACAATATTTCCTGAGAGTTATCACGTCGAAACCGAATTTTAAAAGATTTAAAACCTTTATAAATTATTCAATTTAAAATTGTAAAAAGAAGTGAAAACAAATCTTGTAAAAAGTCATTTTTTATCGAATTTTTTTTTCTTCAGACAATAGTCTTTAACATATATAATTCATAAAAGCAATTAAAATTTCTCTCATTAAATAATGTCTTAGTTTTATTGCGTTTTTTATTCTTCGATTCAGAACAGATTTTCGGTAAGACGGGGTCTGATTTTGCAAAAAAAAATTCAGTGATTTTAAATTCGTCAAAGAATTCTGCTTTTAACTAATATAGTCTCTAAAAATTATCACGTTGAATTTCTCAAGTTTTCATAAAATTAAGGGGGTGAAACACATGTGAAAAATATTTATAAAGATATATATATATATATATATATATATTAAAGATTTTCTAATAAAAAAATTAAAAAATAATTCATTCATTTTAAATAAATTCTGAAAATTTCATTAAAATCCGACAATTAATTGATTTTTTCAAGAATTTCGAAATTAATGTATTTGTCACCGAAAAAAAAAACACCCAAAAAAACGCTACAATTTGCTATGCTAAAAGTTAGTACAATCGCTGACGCAAAAGAAAAAAACAAGTTTTTCATCAAAATTTTGAATTTTTTAAAGAGAAGTAAAATTTTAATTAAATATTCAAAAAATTCTTTGATCCTTCCTCTTAATAATAACTGAAAGATTTTGACGATAAAATTGTTTTTATTACGTTTGGAGCATGTTTTCATCACGGTATGCTGATTTTTAGCGTTTTCGTGGATGTACCCACTTTAGAAGGAATCGGAAACCCAGTTCTATACATGAAATAAGGGACAAGTTGCTATACTTGCTCAAAAGACCGTGGAGGAGTGTGAACTGTACGTCAGGCGAACCTATTTACTCCCATAAAGCCAGATTTCTTTTTCGATGTTCAACTGTTTATTGTTGTTTAATATTGTTCGGTATTCAACGAATTCAGCAACATAAAAATGTTCCTGGCACTAACGATGTTCAAAAGACAATTGAGTACAGATGGTTGTTTTTTTGTTTTTTTTCCTATTAACATGAAGTTTAAAGTAAGACAAGTTTCAGATTAGTTTAAAACGTAAGCATATTTTAAGCATGAAGGGAGGCTCAAATTTTTTTTAACGCGTTCTATACCACAAATCCTTGGAGAGGGATAGGATCCGCCAGGTTAAAACGCCGCATGATGAGCACAAGAAATCATTCGCGGAGACTTAGACTCTCTCACACAACTAAGACAAATGGAGGAGAATGATAGACAACTCAGCACGTCGGCGCCTTCTGGCGGTTAAGGGCGAAAGAAGAAGGTGCGACAAATGTGAACACGCAGTGGATTAATGAATAGCGACTCGGAATTAGGAATCGGAGATCCAAGTTCGAATTCCAGTCGGGTACATTGCATTCACTTACGTGCTAATACCCTTGGAAAAGTTATGAATCCATCTGTCAAAGCTACAGGTAAATAGCAGGACAGACTGAGTTCTAGCCTTGAGTGGTAACCGGTCGAGGAGCAGGAAAAACTCTGAATTCAAAACCAGCATAGTTGATTCGAAAATCACCCTCTCATGTCGTCTTGAAGAAAAGAACTGCACCCACTCCGACCGACTTCGAGCCACGACAGAAAATAATGAACTCTTTAAGCATAGTAAAATGGTTCGAAAAAACACGGCACATCACCGTGGACCTCTCTGATTTCAAACATTTCGCCCATCCGTGTATCACCTACGGCATTTTTTTTACGACGTCGTCGGCTTTATCTCGTATCCAAGAAGTTAATTTCTTCTTTGCTTCGTTTATGATGATGGCATTGATGACTAAATTCGCCGCCAACGTTCAGATTCAGGGCTAAAAGATTCCAGTTTCACCAAAATCTGTCCCCGTCATCCATTCCTTGTCGTCGTTTGGCTCTGCAAGAACTTTTTTATTTACTGAATGTAGGTATTTGTGTTTACTAGAAAGATCCAAGAAAGTTACACGGATTTCAGCTTTGGAATTTTCTAAAAAATTTTTTCTTTATTTAAGGATTGAAAACGTTTCCTGTGATTCGTCGTCGTCAGTTTTATTTCGTATTCAAGAATTTAATTTTTTTTCTTTGCTGATCGCTTCCTTTATAATGACGGTGTTGATGACTAAATTCGCCACCGACTTGCAGATTCAGAACTAGAATCTTCCAGTTTCACTAAAAGCCTGCCTCTGTCATCCATCCCCATTCGCCGTTTTGGCGAGTTGATTGGTTGGTGGGGAATGAAAATTAGATTAGAAAAAACTGCTGATGACGTGAATTTGTTTAAGGTTGACCTCAACTTGCCAGGAAGTAACCCACTCACTTGATTTCATGATTTTCCTCTGCGGAACATATAGAATGAGACATGGAGAATCCAGTTATGAAACTGCTACGGACTGCCGATGACTGTTTTATAATTTCGACTGACGCCTTCTGTAGTATGTCCGTCATACGTAGCCATCTTCATTCGCTGTTTCAACTGTTGAGATTTATTGTAACCGTCATCCGCTTGTTGCACCGTTGGGTCTTTGGGATTGTTGGCATTTAGTCTAGGATCTCGTCTTTGACCTTGCCGCCACCGCCGATACCACAAATATATCGTTACCGTATTATGGAAACGAAAAATAGCAATAAAATTACACATGTAACATCCCTTTCAGATACTACTCTAAGGAAAGACCTTATAGCTGCGATCACCCACGATCACTTAATGTTACGACAAAAATAACTGAAATTTATAATTCTCATTAGGGTTGTAAGAAGTGATTCAGACACTTCGAAGTGGTGTAATGGTTAACAAGCTTGCAATTACGGCTGAGTAGTAAGTTCGATCCTCATTTAGTGCTCCTTAATCTCGGCCTTATGCCACAACTAAGCTATACTTAGTGAACCATATATATATATATATATATATATATATATATATATATATATATATATATATATATATACGTATTTAAAATGTGTGTATTTTGGCAGCAATCCTTCTTTCATGCACATTTCATTGAAGACAAGATGCTTTGATTTAGTTTTTTTTTTTATACAATTTCTTATGTCTTCTAATTTTTTCTTTTCAGATGATAAATTATAGAAAAACTGTCCGAATATTCGTTTTTTTCCGGGCGCTTTCAGTTATACATTTAACCATTTTCAAGGATGAAATATTTTAACTGTTAAATAAGAAATAGTTTGTGGCATGTATGTATTTATATAATATTTTCATTTTTTTTCAAAACACGTTCAAGGTATTGTGTCCATTTTCATAGTTGATATTATTGAGTGTTGTTTGTTTTGTTTTTTTATTAATAAGGCTTCCATTATTTTTATTATTTTAGCATTATATATATATATAAAATGGGTGTAATGGTTACAAGACACTACCCAGTCGTAACTGATCGATAGAGACAAGAACGATCAGTTACGACTGGATAGTGAGTTCGATCCTCACTGGGTGCCTCATAGTTTCTGCCTTGCGCCACATCTAAGCTACACTTAGTAAATTACTGACCAGGTTTACCTCATGCTTACAAATGTATTTCTTTTTAAAAAAATGGCTATTTCTTAAACTATAGAGTATGGATAAATAAAAAAAAGTCTAGCACTAACTGTCGTCGAAATTAGATATTCTTTTTATTCTTTCTT